CACACACACACACACTCACGCGCCCGCACCCACCCACCCACAGTTCATGTGTTTGTGTGAACCCCCCCAAAAAAGCACGACTGTGCCAGACTGTTTCGTTGGACTTTCACCAACTCATCAGGAGGTTGAACGCCGACAGTCTGCCCATGATGCATTTTTGTATGTGTGTGCATGTGTGTGTTCGTGTGTGTTTGTGCATGTGCGTGTGTTTGTGCATGTGCTTGTTCGTGTGTTTGTGCATGAGCTTGTTCGAGCGGGCGGGCAGGTAACCGTTTGAGTGTGTGTTCACTGTGTTGTCTCGGTCGATATACACCGGCTCCGTGCACCGCCAAAGATGTGCGTGGGGGCCGAGCTGCTGCGCCCTATAGGAGACCGGCCCACCTGGAACCAGTTTCTCCCCACATCTGGCAGCCCTAACTTCGGTTGTGCTGCGAACTTCTAATCTGGGCCATTGGCCAACTGGTACCGGGCCGACAGCCCAGATCGTGCGATGATCTGCACCATCGGGCCAGTAGGACCATGGACGGCCTGGATCATCGCACGATCTTAAAGTCTTAAGATCGGGTTGTTATGATTCTGGTTGTCTGTTGTCTGAAGACCAACACTCACTCACACAGACTCCCAGGTATGCCCATACATACACAGAAGGAAGGGGAGAGGATAGGAGTATCACACCACACAGGGAGAGATAAACACAGCAGAAGACCTGACTATGCGATATGACAGGGTACACTGAAAAAGCAATTCACTCCACTCAATCCTCACAACCAGTCATAAAGGAAAGCCGAGTAGATCACATCCAAGGAACAATGACGCAATGATAGTCTGAACCCAGTATCAACACTGTTTATTATACTCAGAGTCTCGAATTGTCAGAATAACCTCAGAACTATGATGCGCTGCTCAGAGATAAGCAGCGCTTCACTCCCCAACCCTGATGAACCACTATCACTACCCCCGAGTCCCTGAAACATCAAGCGCCACCCACCCAGATACAGCCTCCAAAGGGAAGCACCACCCTGAAACAGGCCTCTGAGGCCAAGCGCCACTCTGAGGATGAAGAAGAAGACCAGCGCCACAATATGTGATGATGACGGCAGCGCCACCACTCCTGACAAGAGGACCTCTGAGGAAGAAGCTGCAGCTATGGCTGCAGCGCCACTACCCTGGAACCCCACTCCGGAGGAGGGTCCAGCAGGGCACCAACTTCCCTCGCCTCCAGCAGACCTCTGATATCCCAGACCTATGTACAGCCCCGCGTGCTGACAGAGTACAGCGCAGGTCCCAGCTATGGCCGGCGCTCCGAAGGTCTGGCTATGTCTGTCGCCCTCAACGCTGAGCCGTCACCACTTCCAGTTCACGCGTTGCACAGCAGCGATGTACTCGGTACCAACTGCCAAAAGCCCTGAACCGATGTGCCCATCCTATCTATAGTCTAAACTAGCCTAGACTCGACCTAGACCGGACTGACTGACCGACCGGTACCGTTTCTGTTTCGGCCTCTACGGCCTCTCCCAACCCGGCTATAGACTATAGGACCGTCTAGCAGCTTAGGCCCTTAGGGCCTGTCTGTCCTAGGGGTAGCCCGGGCCTGCTACTCACAGTTAGGATAGCTGTAGGAATTCCAGTTAGTACGGGCCTATATTTTCTTCACAAATTTACAGATATGTCCCTACCGGATTTCCGTACAGGCAGGTCTCTCTGTTAGCCCTCAGCCAAACAAAATTACGAATCTGACCTACAGATGGTACAGCCTCGACAAGAGAGAGGCTACAGGCGACGAGAAACCAGCAAGTCATTGCAAGGTGACAATACGAACCGCCGGGCCGGTAGGACCGGAACAGCCCGGATTGCAGAATTCCAGCCGACGTTTCTGTTTATTATAGAAAGGGGAAGAAAAACCATGAAAAATGTACAAAAAGGCAGAAGCAGCTCAAAAATCAACGAAATAGGAAATTGGTTTGTTTGTTTGTTTGTTTGTTTGTTTGTTTGTTTGTTTGTTTGTTCGTTCATTTGTTTTTCGGGGAGAGGGGGGAGGGGGGAGGGTGGTGGGGCACAGGGCAAGGGGGAAAGCAAAAACGACAACGGGAAAGAATCGGAAAAGCAACAAACATCTGAAGCTGAGGGAGTGAGGGAGGGCCACAGGAAGGTTAGGACGAAGGGTAATGACAATTGAGGAAAAGTTGTCGACAGCACAGGAAGGTTAGGAGGAAGGATAATAGCAATTTGGGTAGAAGCTGGTAAGTGAACAAAGGAGTCGGATTGTTCTCGGGAAATGTTGACAAGCAAATAACAAAGGCGCAGGATAGTCCTTGTACCTTTCATTGGCCGGAGGTGCTGTAGCTCGTGCCTCAAGCACCTGTTCAATGTCCTCCAGGCCCTCCTCATCCGACACTGGACATAAACACCACCCTGAATCAGCATCTTCGCCCGGAAAACATCACATGTTTTCTGCTTTTTGGAGAAAGAGGATGAACCCATCCTTTACCACCCACGGGTAGGACAAAGGGGTTAGGGAGGAGGGAGAGGGAGAGGGAAGGGAGAGGACGAGCAACTCACTCAAGCACGTAAGCAGACCAACAACAAGAATGACAAAGGGATGCTAATCTATTGAGCAATACCCACGGACAAGGTCAAATGATATGAAGGCCTAGCAGACAGGGGAGTCGAGCAATACCTCTTCCCACCTCTCTCTCTCTCTCTCTCTCTCTCTCTCTCTCTCTCTCTCTCTCTCTCTCTCTCTCTCTCTCTCTCTCTCTCTCTCTCTCTCCAGACTTGCGAACCCCAACTAGAAGACCTTGTAGACAAGGCTGAATTAGGCCTCATTAGGGTTTGCCAACGAGTGATGTGAAGCAACTGGACGTCCGTCTGTAGTGCCACCCAGCCAATCCTGTCAGTATCAACATTACAAGCCCGTTCGAGACATGACATTTACAGCTCTGATTTTGTTGAAATACATATACTTGCTGCTTGGTCGGTCAGTTGCGGTTTCAAGAGAATCGGAAACACCTATCCCTGCTGCCTTCAGGTCAGTTGAGCTTTCCCACCCTTGCCCGCACGCACAACCAACCAAAAGAAGAAGAAAGCAGCAGAGCAGGTGGGAACGCCACCTCCGTCTCCCTCCCTGCCAGATTTGCCCTATTCACCGTGTGACTGACCACCTCGGGATGGAAGGAACTGGAATACTGACATCCTCGCCGTCGATGTTTGATCAAGTCACGAAAGCGCTCAAAGTTTACAAGCTCTTCGAGTTCTTCCTCCTCCTCCGTCTTCTGCCGTGGCGGCTGCCGGCTGGAATCATACTCACGTATGAAGTCGAGCAGTGCTCGTATGTCAAACCTGTGTATGGTTGTGAATGCACACATGTACATACAAAAACAGAAAAGTGACAGGACATATATTAGCAGAGAAAACCTGAAGATAGACAATATTGCAAACATGCAAAATAGTGAAAGTAAAATAGTGAGTGCTCCTTAGGTTATAAATACTGGTGCATGTCAAAGCAGAGGCCTCAGAAGTCTGGCTAGTGCGCTGCTTAGTCGCGTTCGTCAAGCATACAACACACAAAGAATTGTCCTTAACTCTCGAGTATGCGACGTGCTTGGCTTCGCGGTCCACATCCGCCGATTTAGGCTCCTTCCCCACTGCACCAGATATGCACAGCCTGAATACCAACTGAACCAATGCTGACATAAACAGGCGATTTGAGAAAAACTACCTCAGGTGGTCAACCAACAAAGGTTCAAGAAAACAAGACAAGTCTCAATAATAATGATGGTTCAGGCAGAGAAACGTGATATTTACAGATACAACTACATGGTAAGACAGACGGCAAGACTTATCCCCTGTTCAAGGAGGTGTTTGAGGAAGGGCCGCTGAAGTCAATCTCCCTCTCTCTCTCTCTCTCTCTCTCTCTCTCTCTCTCTCTCTCTCTCTCTCTCTCTCTCTCTCTCTCTCTC